ACGACTTATATGTGCGGGAAGGGGTGGAAAAAGGCCCCGCCATTACGGCCGCTGGTGGTAGTTGCAATGGACGAGGTGTGCGAGTTGCCGCTTGTTGATCGAACATGGGAATATTTGGAGCGCGGCGCCACGCCCAGACCGGAGCCCGTCATGTCGGATGCGGACAAGGAGAAGCTCACATCGCGTGCGGATCTGGCCCCGGGACCATTTGGAGTCGAGTAGGATCCGTCGCTGTCGTAGGTGCCGAAATCAGGGCCGGCGGCAAGGCCCGGCGACGGCTGATCGTCCCAGCCACGGTCGAGGTCGAGCGACTCACGATCCGAGTGATGGGAGTGCAGCTTCTTGAGAATGGGCTTGACCACAGTGCGGCTCCGCGACTTGGAGATCTTGCCGCCGGGGTGGGTAAAGCTGCCCGGATGAACCTGCGTGGAGGCCATTGTGCCGGCGGGCAATCGAATGATGGGACGAGGTGTGGCGAGCGGCCCTAGAGGAGGGGGAGGGCCGGCTTATAATGATTCCTGGCGTGGATTGTTGTTGTGTTCGCGGCCGTGGCCGTGAACGCTGGCTTGTTGTTTTGGTACGTGTCTGGCCAGGCCTCGCATACGGAGTACCAAGTACCGGGTATCGAGTACCGGGTACAGAACACACAGCGTGCGGACTACACTTCATCCAACTCGGACGGCGCAGCCACTCACGCCATGCCTCCTTCGCTCCGTGCTCCTCACTGATCAGTCTGCAGTCCCCTACTTGTTGTTTAGAGTGGTACAACGGCGTCGATAAACAAGACACAAAGCATTGGCCCCTTGGGTCGCAAACAATGCACGATGCGATTGATGGGACGGCCGACGTCACACACTCTCTCTCTCTGAACGAGGAGAAGTCGACGACGTCAGGACAAGGACCGAGGCACTGAGGATGACAACCAGGACGACTGAGAGGTCTAAAAGCAACAACAGCACACGACGGCTGGCCCGGATGGGGAGGCAGACGAAGCACTAATAAGGACTTGGAGTGCACGCGGGCACAAACAAACCGAGGAGACTGGGACGCCACCGAGTCCCCCAGGTTCCCACGGCCCAGCTGCGCCGTGGTTGACCATGGGGCCTCCGGACAAGGACAGGGGGATGGAAATTGAAGGGAACTAGTACTGGAACTGGGCGCACGCTCAGCGCCATCGCCGCCACTACTCCGGACATGCGCCGCACAGAGGGTAGCTGGCCACACATCAAGCACAGAGGAGGAACGGGAGCAAGGCGAACTCACCCGCAGCAACGCACCCTGGCCGCTTACGACGGCTTGTGCGGCGAAGCGGGTGTCTGTGGTGAACAACTTGGACAGCGCCTTGGACCGCCAAGACGAGGATAGCATTCATGACCGGGTTCAGCCTCAAAGGACGCGACCATGGCACGTGGACGACGACGCTGACGGCGCTCAGTCAAATCTGTACGGAGCGAGTCGAATGGGCGTCTTTGGTGGGCAATGTCTTATCCCATTCCTGTTTTCAGAACATGCAGCGATGAGTACGGAGTTGTCCCACGGTCTAATTAGACATGCAGATACTTCCTTATTTTTGGATGGAATCTTCAATAACACATCAAGTGGAGAGAAAACGAAACCAGGCTTCAGGTCGAAAAAAAAAAGCCTGTGCCCTGGACAAGCATGAAGGTCGCGTTTTCCTACGGGTTACTATTACTTTTACATGGCAAATATATCTCAAAATGAAGCACAAATCTCAGGATTGATGTCACTATGGAGCAGCGAGCCATTCATTCGTCGCCCGGGCTCGCCGTTGCAGGTTCTAGAGTCTTGGCCCTCATCTGCCCAAGTACGCCTCGAGCCACACATGATGCCTTCTGTGGAGCAGCAAAAGCTTGCCATGAACCTGCAATGGCCTGGCAGATGGGTCCGTCTCATTTGACTTTTGGCTTGAAGCGTAATTGCTCCTCCGTACCGAGCCATGGGTTTTGACCTCATCTCGCCAACGCGCATTGGATTCCGTGGCTTCTGCTGCTTAATACTCGTCGGAATTGGACAGTGCAAGACGGAGAGGACGTAATAGGGGCTAGGGCCAACTCCGTACGGAGCAATACCCCTTGTTTTCCTTGGAGTCGTCTTCCGCCGCCTGCATTACGGAGGGGATTTGCGCTATTCCTGGACGGAGACATTGAGTGAGTGAGATTGCGGCCAACAGAGGAATGTCGCAAGACAAACCCGCATACATAGGGTACCGTGTCAGTTAAGGAAAGGGACGCAGGCACACACGTTGCGTCGGACGTCTCGTCCCGTGCGGCCAGACTGCCCATAAGTTGACCACGCCCGAAGCGACGTATGTACATACATATGGAGTACAGGTATTGTAACAAGGCAGGGATGCGATTCTGCTCACCGTTTCGTTTTCTTCTTGTTGCGTTTCGTCCCCCTCCCCGTCGCCCCGGCCACCAGTGCCACCACCAGGCCAGCAGCTCCGATCCGTTTAGAACTGGGCATCAGAATTGGAGCTAGTGCTTGGTCTGGATCTTTGGCATCTGGAATTGTGGAATACTTGGCCAAATCGGCACGGCGGTGGTGTGTACGACATAGTTCTCTTCGACCATCCATCCATTCGTCATGGCGAGCTTGTTGTCCCGCAGACGGAAAACATAAACAGTGGCAGCTTGGCTTAAAACGCTTCCGGCTGCCGCGTTCCTCAGCAACTGCAGATTGTGGCGTTTGGGGAACCAGGAAATGGGATGGTGACACCAGGCTCGGCAGCGGCAGTTTCTGATCCAGCGGTCTGGCGTCCCCGTCCTGTGCAGCAACATATCAGTCTCAACAATCTGTTTTGACGAGGGTATGGAGGCTTCAGATGGCGTCCCAACGAAGTTCGACTTGTTACGAAGAATGGAGGGATTTCCCGGCACCAAGAGTCGTTTGTTCCACTGCTCTTGTTTGACTTTCCCCCGCCCCTACCGTGCATCTTGAACATCTTCAACACAACACTTGGGCACGCAAGACGTCTACTCCGTACAAAGCACCTATCCCAAACATCATTTGGTCCTTGTCCACCAGCGTGTGGCATCGCCACAATGGCCGTCTTCATTGTCTCTGAAACTACGCAGCATCCATACATGGAACCAGCGCGGCCGGCCATTGAACCGCGGTTTGTATTTCTTGCTGCCTGCCTGGGCAGTTTGCCATGTAAGTGTCACGTCCTACAAATGCGCATCTCATTTGTTGGATATATTTATTCTCTTCACAGATATGCTCCACAGATAAGGCATGGCAGAGGGCTTCCATTTCTACGCAAGGGCCGATATTGAGCGGCGAGGCGAGCAATAGCATGATGCATCTGAAGCACAACCCACGCTACTGCGCATTTGATCTCCAGCTGAAAGGCATGCGCTGGGGCTACGGCCATGACGAGAAAGCCTATCCATCCACGGATCAACAAAAGGGCGCAGGATTTTGGCATTCTTCATTTGATTGCCCATGCAACAAACACTGATAACAAGCTGTCAGGCTCTGACTTTCAATACCCATTTGGATCCGTAAAAGTTATGCAGACCTGGTGTAACCTCGGACATCATCAGGCTTACTGAAAGAATGAACCACGAGAAGATTTTGGGCTGATGTCCTTCCCAATATGGGGGGATACCAAGAAGTACTCCTCCGCATGTACGTACGCATGACTAGTTTATTTATCCACTCGCATTTGAATATAATGAGGGGCGGTCAAGAGGCTCGGCGTAAATAGGTCCTGCTGGGCCAACATCTCCTCCATCCCTCGGTGGATGATTTGCTATTCATGGCTGACCACGAGCGACCACGTAACTAGCCTCGTCACAGCAGTATCTATACAGAACATTAGACAACATGTTTCCTAGCCAGCCGTTGCGTCGCGGGACGGGCCACCAAAAAAAAGAAAGCTGAGACACCGCCCCCCGTCAACGCATCCCCATACAACACCTCTCTTTCATGGCAATATCAACATTGCTCTGGCGATAGCATGAGCAAGATGGTCTGCGAAACCCTTTGTTTGCGGGCTGCCCATTCGTCGTTGCGTGGCTCGCCTTGCACAGCATTGCAAATGCCTCGTTCGAGTCCAACGTGGTGGCGAACAATCAACACCATTCAGCCCGCAGCGCCTCATTCGGGTCCCCTCTTCGCTTCGGTGTCTTCCTGAGTCGCCGACTTGCAGACCCCCAACATGGTTCTTACCACAACAAGGCACGGCTTGTGGTTTTTCGTCGCGGCGTCGGTGCGACTGGCGTGGCAGACGCCGGGAACAAAGAGGGCCGACGGAAGAGAAGGGCCCGGTTGGAAACCAAATGCCGGCCCATCTGAAAAGTGTGCAGCGGTTTGTATTTTACATGTAAGTCGGAATTGGTGCGTTTCAGAGCATGTACTACTCCCCTGCCTTTTGGGGAGGTGTCAAGGTGATATTGGGCCGAGCTGGAGGGAGCTGAAGGGTGTGATTCCGGGCACTTGGTACGGCCAATCCAGTGGAAGAGATGTGCGGTTGATATCTGGTATTGCTTGATTGCTTGCCTCCAGTGACTAATGGTAAGTAGATTTATTATCGTGCCCAAGTAAGCGTTTTGCAGTAAGAATGTGTCGAGGACGTCCCGCCGGCGTGCAAATCGCAAAAGCACACGTCGACACTTGCAACACCGTCTGTGTATCGCGTACTAAACACCATTGTCTCCCGGCACACAAAATTCCCCGTAAATCCGGATATCAAGTCCCCGGAGACGAGGCCAAGCCTTGGACGTGGCGCAGTTTGGTGATGATCTGGATGCAACCCTGTTCCGATACGTGGTTCCCGGCCACGACGTTGCCGTTTGACCTCCTCGGTCACCTACATTGGTCCACATCTAAGAATTGACGCTTTTTGCCCTTTATTTCTGCCCGTTGTACGGGTTTGTGGTGGGAAGTTGCAATTCTATGGTAAAGCTGATTGCTGGAGGTGTACATGTCTGTATTCCTCAGCCTACACGGCGGGCGAGCAAGGCCCTTGATCTTGGACAGGTGTCTTGATGAGAATACACAACTCTTCCCGAATCGCCATCGACCGAATCTGCACGTCGTGAGCGGTGCGCTGTCGCGATGCGCGGCACTGGGCTACGTGGCTGGGATTTGGTGTTGCGGCTCCTCTTGAAGATGCTCTGGTAGGGGTACATGAAGGTGAAAACCCGCATATATGGCATTCATTGCGATGCGGATGTGTAGTTGAGATGCTTGAACTTGCTTCAGCTGGGCTGGAGACTCTGATGGATTTGTTGCTCGAGGGTATTTGGCTTTTCGTGGGCTGCATACCGCTGAAAGATTGGCAAACACCACTCGTGGGCAAGGAATCGTTTCCCCTGAATAGTAGGATCTTTATACCAATCTTTGGGTCGAAAAAGACGAATGGGGAAATGAGAAAGCTGACGAGCTCAAGATACGGTATAGGGTAAGT